TAGCATAGTGCCTAAGGCACTTGACTGCTAACCAGAAGGCTGGCGGTTCAAATCCACCAGCCACTCCTCAGAAGGAAGGTTGGGCAAGCTACTTCTGTAGTGATATCACCTCGGAAACCCAAGGAAGGGTCGCTATGAGTTGGGTCCGACTTGATGGCACATAACAACAATAACAACCATTGAGACTATATTTTTTAAGCCAGCTAATAATTTGAAATGTTTCTTTTTCCTTCTAGATGCAGTCTATGTACTATGCTACTCATTGATTCTACTTTCCATTGACCTCACTAGCCCTCATGTGAAGAATAAAATGTCAAAAAGAGAATTTATTCGAAATACCCGTCGTGCTGCTCAAAATATTAGTGAAGATTTTGTCGGGCACCTTTATGACAACATCTACCTTATTGGCCATGTGGCTGCATAAAAGCACAATTGCTAGGACTTTAACTTTTAACTTCGAACTAAAACTACCAAAAGACTTAACTTAGCAGATATGGAAGGTATTTTAGTGATGGTCATTCTAGCCTCTGTTTACAATCAAGCTTGAGTATACAACGTGTTGTTTTCTTTTTTTCTTTTACTACTTTATTTAGTAATTTCCTTGGGGAACTAAAGAATTTTGCAGAATTTTACTTACTTTTTCTTATCATGTTTTGCACAAAGCAGAGCCATTGTCTGACACAACTATTTAAGTATGTAAAACTGACCCTGTACTCTAAAATATGGTGTATTTGTACATTAGATTTGCCTGAAAAACTTACCTGGTTCCATTCTTTTTAAAAATACCATGTAATGTGTACATATTTAACTAAAGAGATTTATAATCATAATTATTTTATTGTAAAGATTTTAACTAAAGTATTTCCTTTTCTCTCAAACTGACTTCTGAATTTATTTGATTCTGACCTGAGATTATTGTTATCTTTGTGAAAGTTGGATCTGACTTCAGAGAGGTTCCATTACCAACTTCTTTTCCTTTGAATTTTGAAAAGAGTATTTATTTGTTACTGTATTGCTATGCAGATTAGCACTTGTTTTTATATCATTTGGCTTTTTATTCTTAAAACTTCTGGTTTAGTCAAGTCTTGATAAGTCCCTTGAACTACATTTAGGATAGCAAAACATGTTAAAATCTAAAATTTGCATACACTAGAACAAAATATTATTAGAACTTTAGTAAATAAATCTTTTCTTATTTATATCTGAAGTAATGAGCCAAACTTCACTATTCTAACCTGATGATCTTTGTTCAGAATCAGTTGAGAAAGGGATACTGTGAATTACAGTAAGCACTCTTCATTCATTCATTCAGTAAATGTCTATCAAGGACCTATCATATGCTAACCACTGTGCTAGCTACCAATTAATACCTAGGCATGGGTTCTGTCTTCACAGATATTACATGAGGTATATCTTAAGTAATAATTAATTAATTATTTAATACAAAGCATTGGAATTATAGGGAGTAATATATTTGTATAGTAATTCAGAAGTTCCCTGGTTATCTCACTAAGTAAAAATCATCGGCTTTGGAATGATGCACTATGTTATGAGTATAGCTGCTAGTTAGGGGGATGGAACTGGGGAGTATAGAAACTCTTTACTAGAGACTTCCTTCCAGATTTGGCCCTAAGTCAATAGAAGTTCATAATGTTACAACTGAAATGATGAAGTACGGATTTTTCAGGATTCATACATGTTAGTCAAACACTTTTTTAATATTAAGGGGACTTTTTTATTGTTAGGTGTCATCGAGTGGGTTTTGTCTCGTAGCGACCCACGTACAACAGAACGAAACGCTGCTGGGTGCTGCTCCATCCTCAGAATCATTGCTATGTTTGAGCCCGTTGTTGCAGCCACTGAGTCAATCCATCTTGTTGAAGATTTTTCTCTTTTTCACTGACACTCTACTTTACCAAGGAGCTCTGGTAGCATAGTGGCTCAGACACTTGACTGCTAACCAGAAGGCTGGCGATTCAAACCCACCAGCCACTCCTGGAAGGAAGATGGGGCAATCTACTTCCGTAGTGATACTGCCTAGGAAACCCAAGGAGGGGTCGCTATGAGTCGGGGCCGACTTGAAGGCACATAACAACAACTTACTACTTTACCAAGCATGATGGCCTTCTTTTAGACTGATAATGAAGTCTAAAGGACTTTTAGACTGATAATAAAGTTTCTAATATTCTAAAATATATTTAAATAATTTTCATATGTACATAATTTTGAATTCTATGGCAAAATAATTCCAGATTTTAACTTCAGAACTAATTGTTTCAAAGATAAAGAATAGTGATATTATTTATTATCGTTCTCCCTTCGTTTACTCTCTCTTATCATTTCTGCTGTGTTTTTTTTGTGTATCCTTATCTCTCTGTTTTAATTTGACTATCTTGCTTCCTTTTTTGTATCTCCTACTTTCTAATTTCTTTTTTTTCCCACATCCTAATCTGATTATAAATATGGATTGGTAATAATCATTTATCCAACATTTTATTATGAAAAATATCAAACATAGAAAAGTTGAAAGATTTTATAAATAATAGCTATATACTCACCACCTAGATTCTATAATGAAAATTTAGTGTATTTGCCTCATCACATTATCTACAATCCATCAACCTAGGTTAGGTTAGGTTAGGTTAGGTTAGATACGGGGCAAAGTAAATTTCACATATTGTTGTTGTTGTTATGTGCCGTCGAGTCGGCCCCGACTCATAGCGACCCCTCCTTGGGTTTCTGAGGCAGTATCACTACGGAAGTAGGATTGCCCAACCTTCCGTCCGAGGAGTGGCTGGTGGGTTTGAACCACCAGCCGTCTGGTTAGCAGGCAAGTGTCTTAGCCACTATGCTACCAGAGCTCCCAAATTTCACATATTAACTGTAAATGGGCTGCATAAAGTAATATATATTGATAGAGGTGATAAATAATTATAAATAATAGATAAAATTATATTATTACATTGCATAGTACTATGCTATGGTTCAACTTGCATAGCATTCACTAGAGATCAATTTTTTTTCTTTTCCTTTGGTGGTAAAATTTACATACAATAAAATGCATGGATCTTAAGCATACTAATGAGTCCTCACAAATGCACACATTTGTATAAACCACACCTCTATCAATATATATTACTTTATGCAGCCCATTTACAGTTAATATTGTACCACTTTATATAAAATGTGGAGATCTTATAGCCATATAGTTCTATTCATCCCCTTCCCTCATCCTTTATCTTGTTGTTGTTGTTGTTATGTGCCGGCGAGTTGGACCCAACTTATAGCGACCCCTCCTTGGGTTGCCAAGGTAGTATCACTACAGAAGTAGATTGCCCAACCTTCCTTCCGAGGAGTGGCTTTATCTTACAGTTGTTTTTTTTATTAAAGGAGCTCTAGTGGTATAATAGGAGCTCTGGTAGTGTAGTGCCTAAGGCTCTTGACTGCTAACCAGAAGGCTGGTGGTTCAAACCTACCAGCTACTTCTCGGAAGGAAAGTTGGGCAATCTACTTCTGTAGTGATACCGCCTCAGAAACCCAAGGAGGGGTCTCTATGAGTCGGATCCAACTCCATGGTGATGGGTTTGGTTGGTTTTGGTTTTAGTGGTATAATGGATACGGCATTTGGCAGCTAACCAGAATGTCAGTGGTTTGAATTCACCAGCTGCTCCACAGAAGAAAGATGGGGCAGTCACCTTCTGTAAAGGTTTACAACCTTGGAAACCCAATGGAGGTCACTATAAATTGGAATCAACTTGATCTCCTCCCCTCAACCTTTTTCTTATAGTTGCCTTATTTATTACATATAGCCTATTTTCTAAATTTCACAATATAATGTTATAATTTAAGCAGTCATACATTTTAAATAAATAAAAGAAAAAATACTTTATGTACTGTTTTATTTTTAGCCACATTATCATTTCTGATGCTCTTATTCCTTCTGAAAAAATTCAGGTTTCTTTCTAGTATCAATTCTTTCAACGTGGAGAACTTTCTTTTACATCTATTATAGTTCCAATCTGCTGGAAATTAATTAATTACCTTAATTTTCTTTCATTAGAAAATATCTTTGTTCTGTTTTCCTCCTTGAATATTTTTGCTGGATGGAGAATTTTGAGTTGATAGTTTCATTTTTTGGTTGTTGCCTTTATTGGTGCTTTAAAAATGTTGTTCCATGGCCTTCTCACTTCATTATTTCCAGTGAGAAGTCAGTAATGAGTCAAATTATTCTTCCCCTTTATAAAATAATGTCATTTTTCCCTGGTAGCTTTGTTTCTTCAGACTTTTTTTTAAACCTCATCCTGTTTTTCATGTTTATGGGACTCCAGTTACACATATGCTAGACCTTTTGATGTTATTTTACAGGTCTGTAAGGTTCTGGGTTTTTTGGTGGTTTTTTTTTTTTCAATTTCTTATTTTTAACTCTTCAAGTAAGATTATTTCTCTTGATCTATATTCAAGTTCACTCTTTCATAATAACATTTCTTTTAAGCCCATTCAGTAACTTTTTTCTTTCCAGTGTATTTTTTTTTTTTAGTTCTAGAATTTCATTTAGTTTTTATAATTTATATTTCCATACTAACATTTTCTATCATGTTCATTTTAAGCACATTTTACTTTATATCTCATAATTATAATAAACCAAACCCACTGCCAAGGAGTTGGATCCTACTCATAGGGACCTCTCCTTGGGTTTCCAAGGCAGTATCACTAAAGAAGTAGATTGCCCAACCTTCCTTCCAAGGAGTGGCTGGTGGGTTTGAAAATCTTTATCTTCTAATGCCAATAACTGAATCATCTCAGTGTCAGTCTTTTTTGATTGTCCTTTGAGTTTTGATAACATTTTCCTGCTTCTTTGTATGTTGAGTAATCATGTCTTGAACATGATGAATAAAATGTAGAAATTTTGAATTCTGGTATGTTCCTCCAAATACTTACAAACAAAACAACAGGCAGTTAACTTGGCTGAACTCCAACTTTAAGCTCTGGCTTCCCTGCAGTTGGTGGCACTTCAAACATCAGTTCTTTAACCTGGCTTCTCTGTTTGGAGTCTATCTGGTGCCTGTATGCTTCAGAGATTGTTCAGAATTTGGGGCAGAAGTTATGCAGAATTTGGGGCTACTCTTCTCTGCTACTCTCCTTGCAGGGTTTCCTCTTGAATTTTCTTGTAGTTTTAATTGCCCCAACTCTGTCCTGTGATACTTCAAGGCAGCAAAACTGTATGTGATGGAAGCCACCTATATTAGTGCCCATTCCAAGAAAGGTGCTCCAACAGAAGCAGAAATTATGAAATAATATCATTACTGTCACAAGCAAGTAAAATTTTGTTGAAGAGAATTTAAAAATGTTTGCAGCAGTACATCAACAAGGGACTCAAGCTGGATTCAGAAGAGGATGTAGAACAAGTGATACCTTTGCTGATGT